CCCCGGTTCAAGTCCCAGCCCTCACAACTGTCTGTAACTTCAGCATCTGACACCCTCACAAAGACATACATGCAGACAAAACACCGATGCACATAAAATAATAAAGATAATCAAAAAAAAAGATTAGGCGTGTAAAATAGGGTGAGGTGCCTAGGATCGGAATGTGGAGGAGAGATCGGGATTTCAGCAAAGGAGTTAAGCCTGGGGCGGAGTCTGCAGGTGGGACCTAAAAAGGCCCTCAGCCTGGGATCAGAAGTCAGCATAGGGTCAAGAATTGTAGACTTCTCGCTGGCCCAGGAAAGTTGGAACAGGGCAAGCCTCAACAGATGCTTATGTTTACCAAAAGCTTTACTTCTGGCCGGGAGCCACGTCCCGGGTTGGGGGCGGGGTGAGTCCCTGGGCATACTGGGAAATGTAGTTTGCGTGCTGCCTTGTTGCGCGGATATGCTTCCTCTGCGTTCTTGGGTAATGTAGTCTTGGACCGTTAAGAGTTGAAGAAGGAATTCCGCTTTAAGGAACGGATATGGGTTCCTAGATCATTGGTGAGTCGTCCTGTCCATCAAACTGCATCCGGGACGATCTGTCTAGGGATTGGAGAACATGAAAGAGGGGCTGAAAAGACTAAGCACGTCCATTTGGAAGGACTTGTGTCCATCAAAAGCATCTTAGTTGATAATTGGGCGATTCGGCCACGTCGTGCAACGATTGGCTCAGAAGTAGGCGGGTCTTATCAGGCGTCAGAGGCGGTGTTGTGGGGCCGCCGCAGCCCCAGAAATGGCAGTGAGCGAGAGGAGGGGGCTCGGCGGCGGGAGCCCAGCGCAATGCAGATGGGGATGCTTGTCGCTGCTGGTGCTGATGCTGGGCGGCTGCTCAGGCCGCATCCACCGTCTGGCGCTCACAGTGAGCCCCGCGGGCTTGCCCTCGCCATCCTCCCCCCACAGCTTCTTCTGGAACGGCCGCACCCCCCACTGCAGGCCGCGAGTGGTCTTGTCCCGCCCCCCCGCCCCGTGCTCGCAATGGGTTGGCCTGGCTTAGGGGGCGGGGCTCCATCTCCCTGGACCCCTGACTCCTAGCCGTTTAAATTACGGGGGAGGGGGTGTGGCCTTGGTAACAACCATAGGGCCCCTGGGCGGAGGGGTACCTGGTATGATCCTTCTGGAATTCACTTCGATGGGAGGTTGGGAGACTAAATTGAAAATTCAGCCCAGATAGAATTAAAAAGTTATCTGTGAAGATGGAGCTGGTCACACCAGCATGTGTAACCCACTCTCGGGGTAGTGCACATCAACATGGGGCCTTCCATGGAAGTGGGACACTCAGACCCACCCCCATAGCTGCCTGGGACTGAAGCAGGGAAATGCCACCACTACCCTGCACCCAGGAAGGGTTTCTCAAGTGCTGTGCCCTGAGTTTAAAATGTCCAGAGTCTCTCAGGGGAGCTAGTGGGGAAAGCTCCCTTGCTGACACTGTCTCTCTGGTTTCCTGCAGGGGGAGAAGCGAGCTGACATCCAACTGAACAGCTTCGGATTCTACACCAATGGTTCCCTGGAAGTGGAGCTGAGCCTACTTCGCCTGGGCCACCAAGAGACAGAAGAGAAGCAGCGGAAGGTGAGAGGTCTCAAGGCAGGGCTCAGTGCACAAGTTGTGGAATTCTATCCTAGCCTGTCCCTCACCCATGGCAGGTCCCATAGTCTTCTTGAGCCTCGGTTTCCCCAGCTGTCACTTAGAAATGAATACAGTGCCTCATGCAGTCTGTATGTTTAGGGTACAGATCAAGTCACCTTAGCATCCCTGCTGGCTGCAGCAGGAGGATGGTTACCCAGCCCCAGACTGGGAGATCCCCACAGGTGCTCTACTGCTGAGCCACACCCACGAAACCTCAGTCCTTTGTAATATAACGCTATATACTTGCATAGAATGTATTTTGATCATACTTCTCCCAGTGCCCCCCAACTCCTCCAAGATCCATCCCCACCTTCCCAAACTCCTCCAATTTCGTGTCTTTTTTTTTTTTAAGATTTTATTTATTTATTATGTATACAGTCTTCTGCCTGCAAGCCAGCAGAGGGCACTAGATCTCATTCAAGGTGGTTGTGAGCCACCATGTGGTTGCTGGGAATTGAACTCAGGACCTCTGGAAGAACTGAACCATCTCTCCAGCCCGTCTTTTGTTTTTTTTTAAGACATGGTCTCACTATGTAGCCTCAGCTGGCCTCAAACTCTTTATATAACCCAGACTGGCTACAGTCTCGGAGAACCTCCAGCCTCTGCACAGCAGAGACTGGAGGCCACATGCTTATTTCATCTGGGGCCACACGCTTAAAGAAAACTGGCACCCCCACCCAGCATCCGTCAGCTGTCCATAGCTCCTCAGCTAGGTGTAGGGGTTCAAACACCCCTCTTCCCTCCATGCTGGAATGCTGACTGACTTGGTGCTGTGCAGACAACCAAAGCTGCTGTAAGTTCATAAGCAGCAGTCTACTATCTCCAGAAGACATTGTTTCTTTCTGGTCCTTCCCAACCACTGGCTCTTAGCCTCTTCCCTCCCCCTTTTCAGCAATGTTCCCTTGGTAAAAGAGGTGTGATATAGATGCCTGGTTTATAATGGCCTTATTTTTTTCTTTCCTTTTTTTGGTGGGGGGATGGGGTGGGGTGGGGGGACATTTGCTCAAACTCACCTGCCGCGAACTGGGATTAAAGGCATGCACCACTATGCCCTGGCAGCCTCATTTTGACACTTTGCTTTGAGCCAAGGTCTCATATAGTCCAGGTTCGCCTCAAAGTCAAGGCCCTCCTGTCTCAGTCTCCATAGCCCATGAAATTGCATGTTCTACCCTGCCCAGCACCATTCGCAGTGTAGGTGGATAAAGCTAATCAGGCTGTGAAAAGTCTCTCGGAGGAAGTGCATTCTGCGTGAGCATTGGGAGGGGCTGGACAGATCACTGAGCATCTAGCACACAGTGGGTGTTCAATACCTGCAAGAATGGGGGGTGGGGGGGCGCGACCGATGCAAATCCAGCCACAACCTGGGCAATATGGTGAGTACCCACCCTACCAGCCAGGGCTACCTGCAAGCCCCTGTCTCAAAGCAGAACGGAACTTGGTTGCATCCCTACTGCTGCAGATGGTGTTTTCTCTTTACCATCAGGTGGGATTCAGCTTGAGTCGAGTTCGATCGGGCAGTATCCATTCCTACTCGGTGAGTGGAGAGGAGAGTATCGGGGGGATGACAGAGAAGTGATGTGGTGTGGAGGACCTGTCTTCTTTGTGTAGAGCCTATATCCCTGGGTTCTTTTCCAAAGAAGGGGCAGGGAGAGGCCCTGGGTGAATGGATAGCACACTGAACAAGGCTACACCCATGGGCAGTTGTAACCCAGGTCCTTTTTGTCCACTCCCCAGAGCCGGAACTCCCAGGAATGCCCTCTGGAGAGGAATAGCAGCAACTTCCTGGTCCTTTTCCTCATTGATATCAAGGACCTGCAGTGAGTAGGGACGGGGGACCCCCAAAGATCACAGCTCTAGGGAGAAAGCCTGTCACTTTCATTGCATGGTACATTGTGTGTGTGTATGTGTGTGTGTGTGTGTGTGTGTGTGTCCACACACAGGCTACTAGAAATTGAGCCTGCTGCCTTACATATTATAGGCAAGTGCTATACCCCTGACCATGCCTCCAGCTCCTCACTGGGGAATTCTAGGTGAGGGCTTCACCCTGGCCACACCCTCAGCCCCTCACTGAGGTATTTTAGGAGGGGTTCCACCCCTAACCACACCCCCAGCCCCTCATTTGGGGATTCTAGACAAGACTTCACCTTTGTACTTTTTAAGACAGGATCTCAGTAAGTTTTACCAGTTTGGGCTTCGAACTAACTCTGTAACCTAGACTAACATTGAACTTGCAATCCTCCTGTCTCTACCTCCCAAGTATCTTGGATCACAGGCCTTTCACCCTGCAGACCAGGCCATATCATCTGCCCTTCCCAGTAGACAACCATGAGCATGGAAGCTACGTGGACAGGTGGTGGCCAGACACTAAGATTTGGTGGCCAGTGACTCAGAGAGATTCTCCAGCCCCATAGGAAGGGCATCCGCACATGTTGTAAACCTGACCACTGACTTCACCGTCCTCTTTCCTTATTCCTCCTCTCACCCAAGGGTTCAAGTCCGAAAGTATGGGGAGCAGAGGAAGTTGTTCATCTCCCCTGGCCTCCTCCCTGATGCCCCTGCCCAGTCACTCCTCCCGAAGCCAGAGCCTGAAGGCACCCCCAAGCAGAACAGTGGTAAGGCCAGGAGGCTGGGCAGAGCTGTCCTGGGATAGACCCCAATTTTCTGCCCATCTGTTTTTTTGAGAGTCACCCATCTCCTACAGAGACCCCTGCAGTCAAAGAGAATCAGGAAAAACCTGGAGCACCCCAAGTTTCGGAAGAGAAAATTAACCCAGGGGTACACCGGCTCTCAACAGAGGACCAGCCACAGAGGCAACTGCCCACTCGGGACCCCAGCGGGAAAGAAGAGGAAATGGTGTTGGGGCTGGGCCACCTCAACAACTCATACAACTTCAGTGTAAGTACCTGCCTTGCTCAAGGGTCCCCACCTCCCCCAAACCCTGCCACAGCTGGGAAACCCTCCTGAGGCTCCTCCTTCTCCCCATGACCAGTTTCACGTGGTGATCGGCTCCAGGGCTGAGGAAGGCCAGTACAGCCTGAACTTCCACAACTGTTACAACTCGGATCCCGGCAAGGAGAGGCCATTTGACCTCACTGTGAGTGTCTAGGGACAGGTGACCCTGCTCAGCAGCTTTGTCTTTGTCTTTTTCATCACACTTTATTTGGGGGCATGTACCACAGCACATGTGTGGAGGTCAAAGGACAGCTCTCAGGAGTCAGTTGTCTCCTTCCACCATGTGGGTCCCAGGGATCAAACTCAGGTCGTCAGCCTTGGCAGCAAGCTTCTTCACCCACTGAGCCTTCTTGCCAGCCCCTGGATGAACTTCTTAAAGTCCTCCATTGGGCTTTGGTGAGACATTCAAGCTAGAGTATTCAACTGTCCTCGGATTGGAAGTATTTAAGGGAAGACAAAATTGTATCTGTTTCCGGTATGCACAGTGTGTGTGTGTGTGTGTGTGTGTGTGTGTGTGTGTGTGTGTTTCGTATGTGCAGGGGAGCTTGTGTGGTGTGGTGTACATATGGAAGTCACAGTCAACCCTCACTGGTGTTCCTTGGGATGCTGTCCATCTTGATACTTGCGACGTGTTTTGTTTTGAGACAGGGTCTCACTTTGTAGTCCAGATCCACCTGCCTCTGCCCCTGAGTGCTTCCAGTAAAGGCGTGCACCACCATACCCAACTTGTTTTTTGAGACAGGGTCTCTGACTGGCTTGGAGCTCACAGATTCAGCCAGGCCGGCTGGCTAGCAAGCCACAGGAATCCTCCTGTCTCTACCTCCATGCCACCACCCCTGGCTTTTCTTTAATGTGGGTTCTGGGATCTGAATTTCACTTCTCATGATTTCAAGGCAAGCACTTTCTCGACTGCATTGCCTTCCCAGCCTTGTCATGAGCAACCTCTAAAATTGTTTTACATTTATTTTTGAATGTGTATGCAGTGCATATGAAGGTCAGAGGGCAACTTGCTGGAGTCTCCTACCTGCAATGTGTTCCAAGGGTGGCCACCTGAAGTTGTCATTGGCCTCCACACACATAGGAAGAGAATCACACAGTATTCAGTGATGGGTCTTAACCCCTTTGAGGGTCACATATCAGATATCTTGCCCATCAGATACTCACATTTTGATTCATAGCAGTAGCAAAATTACAGTTATGTAGTAGCAACAAGATAATTCCGTGGTGGGGGGAGGGGTCACGACAACTTGAGGAGCTGTACTAAAGGGTCACAGTATCAGGAAGGCCACGAACTGGCCCAAATGATCCATTCACATGTGAGGACATTGGGTACTAAGTCACTTGTCTCCTGGGTGGCCCCTAACCAACACCAGGCAACACTTCTGTGTCCCTGGTTTACATTTTGTCCAGCCTTTCCCAGTCTTCTGGAAATGAATATACTTGCCCTGTGAATATACTTGTCACTTTGTACAAAGACTGGGTCATCCCTGGGTGTTGGTTCTCCTGTGGTCCTGATGCCAGTCTGGTGTATGGCTGTGTACCCATTTGAGAGATAGGACCAAGTGAGGCTCTGGCTAGAAAGTGGAAGAGCTGGAGACTGGGAAACCCAGAGCTAGAGGTACAGGGGCAAGACTACCCCTGCCCTTACAGGTGATGATCCGAGAGAAGAATCCAGAAGGCTTCCTGTCAGCGGCAGAAATCCCCCTCTTCAAGCTCTACCTGACCATGTCTGCCTGCTTTCTGGCTGCAGGCATCTTCTGGGTGTCCGTGCTCTGCAAGAATACGTAAAGCCCCTCCCTACCCGCTTACCCTCACCCCTGTCTCTTCTGCTGGCCAAACATGCTAATCTCAGTGGTACTCTCCCCACCCCGTTCTCCTTCCGGCAGATACAGTGTCTTTAAGATCCACTGGCTCATGGCCGCCCTGGCATTCACCAAGAGCATCTCCCTGCTTTTCCACAGCGTGAGCACACAGGGCCCGTTGGCGAAACAGGGGTGGGATGGTGAGACGGGACACCTGTCCACCTGTGTGCCTTGTCCATCTCATCTCTTCTCACACTCAGCCCAGCTCTCGCCGCCTGCCCTCCAGGACCATCTATAGTGGTCCAGCGCTGGCTGTCCATCACATTGTCTAACCATCCTCCCACCCAACTGTAACCCCCCCTCCCCATCATCGTGGCAGGAATCCATGGTGACTGACTGTTTTCATTCCCCCCCCATCACCCACTCATTCTGTACTTAGTCTCTGTTCCTAAACTGTCCCCACCCATTCATCCTTCTCTCTGACTGCCCATCCATCTGCCCACCTCCAGATCAACTACTACTTCATCAACAGCCAAGGCCACCCCATCGAAGGCCTCGCCGTCATGCACTATATCACACACTTGTGAGTCACCCAGTCCTGCACACAGGTGGGGGAGGCAGGTGGGGGGAGTGGGCCCCCCACCTCATCATCAGACCTCCCCGACCCTGGCTTCCCAGGTTGAAAGGCGCCCTTCTCTTCATCACTATTGCCTTGATCGGCTCAGGCTGGGCCTTCGTGAAGTATATGCTGTCAGACAAGGAGAAGAAGATTTTTGGAATTGTGATCCCCCTGCAGGTATGTGGGGGTTCCTATAGGGGTCTAGGAAGGTGCAGCGAGGGCAAGGGACTCAGGAGACATCAGAGACAGGAATGCTGGGGTGGGGTACAGGGAGGGATGCTGGGGTGGGATACAGGGAGGGATGCTGGGATGGGGTACAGGGAGGGACGCTGGGGTGGGGTACAGGGAGGGATGCTGGGATGGGATACAGGGAGGGACGCTGGGGTTGGATACAGGGAGGGATGCTGGGTTGGGGAGCAGGGAAGGAAGTCCATGTTAGTAGGGGATTTGGTAGTGGCTCTATTTCAGTGGACAGGGGTAAGAGGATGGGAATAAAATCAGGTGGCACTTTGCCATCCCCACAGGTCCTGTCTAATGTGGCATACATTGTCATTGAATCCCGTGAGGAGGGTGCCAGTGACTATGGACTCTGGAAGGAGATCTTGTTCCTGGTGGATCTTATCTGCTGTGGTGCCATCCTCTTCCCAGTTGTGTGGTGAGGACCCTGACCTGCCCCTCGGCCCCACCCAGGCCCTGTGCCCTGCCCCTCAGTGCTACCCAGGCCCCTACCTACCCCACAAAAGACTCCTGAGCTCTGGGCTGGGGTCATGATCACTTCCCACATTCTTTGTCCTGCTCCAGGTCCATCCGGCATCTGCAGGACGCATCTGGCACTGATGGGAAGGGTGAGGACCCCTCCTCCAGGGTTTCCCAGCCCTGCTTTCTGTCTGACACCAGGTGCCAGGTCTCAGTATCTACATAGCTGTGCTTTACCCCCTCAGTCACCTCTGTCCCCCTTGCCAGTTGTGCTTGTTACTATTCATCCTGTTGCCCTGGAACTATGCCCCAGGCCCTGTCCCCTCCCGCCACTTTCAGTGACTCCCCTGACCACCATTCTGTGCCCACCTACAGTGGCAGTGAACCTGGCCAAGCTGAAGCTGTTCCGACATTACTACATCATGGTAGGAGTTCCACACCACCCCCAGGCCTGAGTCTCCCTGCTGCCGTCTGCCCCTGAGCCCTAAGCCTCCCTCACCCTCTGCTCGTGCCCCACACGTCCCCAGGTCATCTGCTACATCTACTTCACTCGCATCATCGCCATCCTGCTGCGTGTGGCAGTGCCCTTCCAGTGGCAGTGGCTGTACCAGGTGAGCAGAGCAGAGGGGGTCCCCGGCAGGGGGTGGGTCAGGAGTGTGGGTGGCCAGGGAGCCCCACCTCATCCCATGCCCTCCCTGGCCCTCAGCTCTTGGTGGAGAGTTCCACACTGGCCTTCTTTGTGCTCACCGGCTACAAGTTCCAGCCAGCTGGGGACAACCCTTACCTGCAGCTGCCTCAGGAGGATGAGGAAGATGTGCAGATGGAGCAAGTGTGAGCAAACTCACAGATGGGGGGTGGGGTGGGCGAGGCTGGGAGGGGGCGAGGCCATACTAAGTTAGAGGCTACACTGGATGGGGTATGACCTAGGCTGCTTCTGGGCATGTGGCTAGGCAGGATTGTGGGTGGACTGGGCCAAAAAGGACTAAAGGTGCTGTTGTACTCTGCTTCTGCTGTATGTCTCTCCCAGGATGACGGACTCTGGGTTCCGGGAAGGCCTGTCCAAAGTCAACAAGACAGCCAGTGGCCGGGAACTGTTGTGACTTCCCAGTGTCCAGCCAGCCACCCCTCAGACCTTCTGCACTCGCACACCTACACTTGTCCCAAAGTGTGCAGAGAGTCCTAGGGACCCCGTGCCAACAAGGCACCGAGGATGTGGGTCCCCAAGGAGCCTTTCAGAAAAAGATGCCCTTCTCCCAGCACTGCAGCCATGTCCTCAGCAGGGGACACTTCGGCCTCTTTCAGTACAATAAGGACTGCTCTTTGTTTTTCCTTTTATCAAGTTTCTTGATGTTAAGGGGTTTGAGTGCCTAAGGCAAGCTGCATTTATGATCTCGAATCCTGAATTCTCAGTCTACGTGATGGCACATATCTGTCATCCTATTGCTCTGGGGATCCTCATGAAACCTTGGGCCAGTCAGTAAACAGATAAAAATAAAGAGAAAGCGGAATTCACATTGAGGGTAGGATGGTCTGCGATGCTATGCTGGGCCCTGTGTTGGCTGCTGGGGGCAGTGTGACCAAGTGCCCCCTCCCATCCCAATCTTCAAGGGTCTTGCAAGTCACCAGAACGAGGATGGGGGAGGGGGGTAACACAGGGATGACCCAGCCACAAAGGTCTAGAAGGTAAACCGAACAGAAAAGATGAACCCATGTCCTCCGAAGACAGACCCGACTGTGGGACCCGGCACAGACCCGACTGTGGGAATGGTGAAGTGCTTGCTATGCCTATGCCATGACCCAAGTACAGACCCCAAAGCCTCGGTGAAGATGCGTGTGTGCTTGGAATCCTAGCACTGGAGAGGTGCAAAGGGGCAGACCCCTGACCCTGACTGCTCAGCCAGCTTAACCTACTTCTTGCACCCAGGCCCTTGAGACACCTTGTTTCAAAACTAAGGTGGGTGGCACCCCTGTGGCGGTCACACCTGCAGACACAATCAGTGTGCAGAGAGTGGTTAACAACTACTTTAGGCCACAGAGAAAACTAATAGCAGGGCATGGCAGTTCAAGCCTCTAAGTCCAACATTCAGAAAGCCGAGGCAGGAGAGTTACTAGGGTTTGAAGAGTGAGATTCTGTCAGTGCAGAATGAATAGTCATGGCCATAAGGATCCAGCAACAGCCTTGGCCCGGTCTCTTGGAGACCCCCTTAGAGTTAGCTCTTCAAGGTGGCTCTCCTCTCTGCCTTCCCCTGAGGATATCCAAGAATGTCTAGTGTGCACAGACACCATGGGGGGAGGGGTAGGAGAGGGGCGAGGGGCTGGGTTAAGGCTCCACAATAAGGAAGCGCGACCAGCTGCAGCCCAGATGAACAAATAGCCCAGCCAGCGGAAGCTGCAGGCTGGGGAGGGTGTCGAGCAGAGCAGGGCCTGGCCGGCAGCAGCAGGCAGAGTCCTAAAAACAGACTTGAGGCTTTGACCCAAGACACTGTGCAGCTGTGCACGAGGAAGTAGACGCAGTGATAGCTCTCCCACTCCAAAGATGGGCACGCCCTCAGCCCTTGTCCTCCCCCAATGTGAATGCGTCCCCTACCAGAGCAAGGGAAGATCTGAAGGTGACACCAATGAGGGCACTCTGGTGGGGCCCAGCGTCCTCACATTGCTCACAATGGGAAGTGGGCCTGGTGTGGTGGCACAAGCCTTTAATACCAGCACTTAGGAGGTAGAGGCTGGAGGATATCAATGAGTTCAAGGCCAGCCTGGTCTACAGAGTGAGTTCCAGGACTGCCAGGCTACACAGAGAAACCTTGTTTCTAAATAACAACAAAAAAATTCTGGGATGGAGAGATGGCTCAGGGGTTAAGAGCACTGGCTGCTCTCTCAGAGGACCTGGGTACAATTCCCAGCACCCACATGGCAGCACAAGACTGTATAACTCCAGCTCCAGAGTTCTAACACCCTCACAGATATACACACACAGGCAAAACACCAATGCACAAAAAACAAATAATAAATGGGAAGAGGTAAGCTAGAGTGGACAGCAGGGGAGTGAACCACATAGCATTCACACCTGTCTCTCCCCACCCCCAGCTCTCAGGTCCCAGCAGGAGTGTGTGAGCTTCCAGTTTGTACAATGAGAATTATCTCAAAAAAGAAAACCAGAAAAAAAAAAAAAAAAGGGGAGGGGAGGGAAGAAAGCTGAGGGAGATGGGTATAGGACACCTACCTGAGTGTTCTATTTGTCAGGTGAATTTCACTGTCTCTCCAGACCAGGCTCAGACTCAATTCCTGTGGGTGGAGTGGGGGAGGGGAGTGCCCTGTGCCTGGACTCTGTCCCTGCCCCCTCGTTTTGTGTCCCACACAGAGCTCAGGGAGGAATCTGTTGTCACAGGCCCTGTGGATGGTGCAGGGGTCAAGGTCCCTGAGAGTTAAAGAGTTACTAGGTAGGAAGAGAGGTCAGCCAGCCTGGGTACTAGCTCAGTTCCAGGAAAGGCATGCAGCAGAGACCTGTCCTCAAAGTGGGGAAGCAGAAGGGAACCTGGGCTTCCAAGCAGGGAGGGAAGCCTGTGCAGGAAGGGGGGCGGTACACAGGGGTAACCACACCCCTACAATCAGAGTTGAAGGTGTCTTCCACACAGAAATCAAATCCACACCTTTCTTTCCTCTCTGGACACTGGAGCTCAGCACTGATAGTTTAAGACTAGGTCCTGCTGTGTAGACCAGGCTAGTCTGGAACTCCCAGAGGTCTGCCTTCCTTTGCCTCCCTGAATGTCTGTCTGCACAACCACACACACTGGGCATTTCTCTCAGTTTTTAAGTATGTTTGCCCAAAGAGCATTTTATTTGAATTATTTCTTTTAGGTCGGGTTCTCATGTTGCTCAGACTGGCTTGGAACTTGTGGCAATCCTCCTGCTTCAGCTCAAGAATGGCAGGATATACCACCACGACTGGCGCTACTCTCCAGTGTGTGTGTGTGTGTGTGTAGGCCCAAAGTTGATGTCCAGTGTCTCCACAGTTGCTCTGCATTTCCATTTATTCACCAAGGCCTCTTACTGAACCCAGAGCCCTGGCTTCCTCTGGTCCATCGAGTCAGCTTGCCCAGGGCCCAGGGAATCCCTGCCTCTGCCCCTGCTGGGGTTATCACAGGATGCCAAAATGCCAAAGTTACTAGCTTTGTACCCACTGAGCTATGTCTCAGGTCTTGATGTACACCCCAGGTTGTTCTCAAGTGACAGTCCTCCTTCCTCAGCTTCTTAAGTGTGGGTACCACTTTACCTGGCATAACTCCACTTTGTGTGTGTGTGTGTGTGTGTGTGCAGGTACATTTTTTTTTTTTTTTTAGCCGAGTACTTTGCACAGATCTTATAAACAGCCTTGAGGCACATGGCCCCCACTCCGTGGAAATTCCCTCACATTCTTCCTGCAATGCTGGCTCAGCAGGCCCCCTCTCCCCCTCCTGAAGTTCTGACACAAGTTCTTATTTCCCTAGAGGAGAGTCACAGGGTTCAAGAATTCCCCATCTCTCTCTCTCTTCACTGACTTTCTCCCTCCCAGCAGGCCCTGGTCCAATCCTGGCTTCCTGGTTGCCTCCCAGCACTAATTGCTGCAGTCTGGTGACTTCCCAGAGATCAAGACTGGGCCCAGACCCTTCCCACATTCCCAGCCAGACCAGAAGCAGGAATGACAATTAATCAAGCTGAGAATTGATCTTTCTCCATCTGTGCCCCCACCCCCACCCCCAGAGTGGTTCCTTTGTATTCAGACCTGTCTGTCACCCACCTCCACCCAGTAGGGTAAACAAATCCACAAAGGACAAACCAAATCTGCTAGCCAGAAAGAAGCCACCACTGGTAAATCACAAAACCCTCATAATTTAGGCAAGAGTGAAACAATGAGACCAGGAAAAAGACTGGGGGTGGGCGGGACGTGGGGTGGATACTTGCTGCAAAGCCTGGCCACCCGAGTTCCATCTCAGGGACTTATAGTAGAAGGAGAGAAGGGAGTCCCACAAGTTGTCCTCTGACCTCATACACGTGCATGAGTATATACAATCATAAATATTAAATAAGGTACAGTTTTTAAAAATATGTGTTAAATATAACAAAACCAAGAAACTGAGTGCCTGGGCAGAGGCAGAGGAAGTAAAGGGGAACACTTGGCGATCCAGTTTCAAAAGTTGGGCCCCAGTTTTGGAGGCAAGCTAAGGAGTGCACCACCCCTCCTCCCTCCTCCCACCCCTCTTCTCCCTCCTCCCTTCCACAGAAAGGATGTCGCAATCATAGCTAAAAGACAAGCCAGGTTTGTTCTGACTCTCAGCCACCCCTGTGCCCCAAGAGGCCAGGAAAACAATGGATTACAGGAAATCTTCGCAAAACTATCCCCTTAACCCCTTCAGGGAGGTTCACAAATACCTGTTCTTGAATTGGGCATCACCAACTTGGTTCACAGTGTTCCCCCACAGCCGTCTGTGGCCCAGCCTCAGAGGACAGCATGGTGGTGGTGGTGATGGTGGGTGACAGGGAGAGGCAGAGAGATAACTCCAGATAGATTCCAGTTACTATCCAAGACTCTCAAAAAGTTCCCAGGCAAGTGGGTGTGGCCACCTGTCACCTCAGGATCCCAGAGCTGGCTGCAAGGGTTTGCCTAGCATACATGAAGTCCTGGGTTCCATCCCCAGAACCACATAAACCAGGCATGGTGAGAACTGCCTGTCACCCCAGCACTCAGGAAGTAAGGCAGTAGGAACAGGGGTTAAAGGTCATCTTTCTTTACACGGGGACTTTAAACCTAGCCCAGGTTACAGAAGACACTCTCATAAAACAAGCAAACACAAAACAGCTAGAGTTGGTGGCCACACCTATATCCCATCTAGCACTTTGGGGGCAGAGGCAGGAGAATCTCTAAATTCTCAGCCAGCCAAGACTACATAGAAGGACCCTATCTCAAAAGATCTGAAATTCAGCAAACATGGCCAGGCAGCCAGGCCTGAGGGAAATTGGCAATTCATTTCCTGAATTTTACAACCCAGCCAGCAAGTCTCTAAATCTGTAGAACCCTCAAAGACAGAGAGCTAGCAAGATCTAGCAAGATTACCCACAGCAAACCCAGGAGAAGACAGCTGTGTTAACAGTGCTCTGCAGGAAGAAACTGAGGCCCAGGGCTCACCCATGGCTGGCAAGTAGCCACTTAGAGAGGAAGCGGCTCCCAGTGAGTCTGGGCTCTGAGTTGGCTGGTGACCATGCAATCTGTCCATCACCAGCATAGAGTGGTTGCTGTCACACAAGGACAGCTGGCAGGAAGGAGGAGAAGGGCTCTCTGAGCATTGATCTGGAATGGTCTTTTAGGCAAGCCTTTCACACAAGGAAAACAAGGCACCTTTCAGGAAAGTCAGAAGAACAACATGGAGAGGAAGCTAATTAATGGTTACTGGCGAACCTGTGGGTTGGTAATTGGCCTTTCTAGAAAGAGTCTGTGGGGCTGGAGAGATGGCTCCTTGGTTCCCAACCAGCACTTGTTATCTCTC